ACCCAGACTTGAATCCAGTTACCATCACCTTTGTGTCCCACAGACAGCTCAAACATAAGAAGTCTCTTACCACCTCTGTTCTCCTGGATTCTATTTAAGATACTGACAACATGCAACAGCAGTAAGCAGAATCAAGAACATCACCCTTGCTACTCTAAATCTCTCACCTCCCTTTTCCAATCAATCGCCAGTTCTACAGATTTACCTCCTAAGAAATCTCTATTTCCTCTTCCTTCCCCATTAACCACTGCTTGAATCCATTCAGGGCCTCATCAACAACCACAGGTATATTACTCTGGATGAGTTGTCCCTGCTCCTGGCCAAAGGCAATAACATCCCCTGCCATTGTGTCCCACCCTCTCTTGCCTTCTGATCTAACAAATCCTCCTTTCTCTCTTATGTCTACTGAATCACATCAACAATACAGAAACATGCTTTTATTTCACTTATCCTAAACTCAGACACGCACACACACACACTCACACTCACAAACAAAACTCCCTTGTTGCACTTCCCTCTCCAGCTGCTACTATATTTCTCACACTGTCTTAACTGAAGAACTTGAAAGCACTAACCTATACTCCTATCTTAAAAATTTTCTCCTCAAGGTCACTAATGAATTCCTCATTATTAAACCCTGTGACCATTTCTCCATCGTTTCTTGATCTGCCAGCAGCATTTAACACAGTTACTGATCCTCCTGGAAACACCTCTCTCTTGGCTTGCAGTGTACCACATGCACCTGGTTTTTCTTCTCATTTGATTGCTTCTTCTAAATATTATTTATGGTTCTGTTTCATTTTGTGCTCCAGGACTCAGTACTTGGATTTCTTTTCTCTCTACACTACTCCCAAATTCTTGTGGCTCTAAAAACCAACTAAATGTCAAGGATTCCCAAATTTATTTCTCCAACCTGAACTTTTCCCCTGAACTCTGCACTCCAACTTCCAAGTTCACATCTGCAATTGGACATTTGGTGGACGTCTAGAAATTGTTTAATAAGCACATTCCCCACCATTACCACACCCACAAACTAGTTTCTCCTTTCTACCTCAATGAATGGCAACTCTATTCTTGTTACTCAAGCCAAAAATCTTAAGGTCAACTTATGTTATGTTGCTGTCATATGCTATAGTCCAACTTCCAAAACAAATATATGGTCATATGATATAATGTTACTTAGCAAAACTACTATATATGCAACAACATGGATGAATCTTAAAAACATTATACTGAGCTAAAACAAAGCAAGACAAAAGAAGTACACACATATAACTGATTCCATTTACGTGACATTCCCCAAAGGAAAAATCTAATCTAAAATGATAGAAAGTAGATAGGGGCTGGCGCTGTGGCACAGTGGGTTAAAGCCCTGGCCTGAAGTGCCAGCATCCCATATGGGTGCCAGTTCTAGTCCCAGCCACTCCTCTTCTGATCCAGCTCTCTGTTGTGGCCTGGGAAAGCAGTAGAAGATGGCCCAAGTCCTTGGGAACCCTGCACCCACATGGGAGACCCGGAAGAAGCTCCTGGCTCCTGGCTTCGGATGGGCACAGCTCCAGCCATTGCGGCCAACTAGAGAGTGAACCATCAGATAGAAGACCTTTCTCTCTACCTCTACCTCTCTCTGAAACTCTTTCAAATAAATAAAATAAATCTTTAAAAAAAAGAAAAAAGAAAGCAGATCAATGGTTGCCCTGGGCCAGCAGATGGGGGTTAGGATTGAGCCACAGAGGCAGAAAGGAATTTTGGGGTGTGATGGAAATGATCTATATCTTGATTGTGATGGTAACTATGTATAAATATATTTGTTAAAACTCACTGAACTACATGTGTACATTTTATGTTAATTATACTTCAATAAAACTGATTAAACACAATTCAACTACTTCTCACTGCCTTCCTACCATGCTTCTACCATGTAGGAGCTATCACTATCCCTCTCAGGGTTTACAACAGCCTCCTAAATAGTTTTTCTGTTCTGTCTTTGCCTCTTTGCATTTTATTCCTGACACAGTGGCCAGAACAATTATGCTAAAACATAAAACACATTATGTCACTCCTATGTTCAAAATTTTCAAATGGTTTCTTAGTAAAATTTAATTCCTTTATAAAGGCCTCACATAGGGGCTGGTGCTGTGGTGCAGAAAGTTAAGCCACCTGCCTACAGTGCTGGCATCCCATATAGATGTGTTTGAGTTCCAGCTGCTCCACTTCCAATCCAGCTCTCTGCTAATTTGACTAGGAAAGCAGTGTAGGATTGCTCAAGTCCTTGGACCCCTACCACCTATGTGAGAGTCTCAGAAGAAGCTCCTGGCTCCTGGCTTAGGGCTGACCCAGCCCCTGCATTGCAACCATTTGGGGAGTCAAGTAGCAGGTGGAAAATCAATCTCTCTCTCTCTCTCTCTCTCTCTCTCTCTCTCTCTCCATGTCTCTGACTTTCAAATTAATAAACAAACAATAAAATACAATAAAATAAAGGTCTCACATAACTGGGCTCCCTGCAATCTCTGGAACCTTAACTCCCACTACTCTTCCCCATGGTTAGTTGCATGCAGCACTGGTCTCTTATTCTTCTCCAAATATAGCAGGCACATTCCTTGGCACTTACTGTTTCCTCTGCCTGAAATGATGTGCCCACCACCCTCCCTCCCCAACATACCCTTGGGTAGCTTATTCCCTCACTTTCTTCAACTTTCATTAAGGGATATCATTCTCAGTGAAAGTCTTCTCTTGTCTACTAACTAAAATTTCAATGCCCTCCCCCCAACACATACACAACCTCACTTCTATTTCATTTTCTCCTTTGTTTTATTTTTTTGTTCTTGGGTATTACTCTTATTTTATTTACTTATATTTTACTAGTTTAACTTGTTTATTGGCTTCTTCCTCTGCCAGAATTGATGACCCAAGCAGGCAAGGACTTTTGTATAATATTGTAGCCCCAGAATAATGTCAAATGTAGTTGTTGAATGAATAAATGAATGTTTCTGAGCAAATTCTAGAATTTTCTTTAATAGGTGACAGAATATATGATACCTCATTTGCTTTCAAAAATTATAACATATTAAATTTAAAAATCAGCATATTTAAATATATGTTAATGTATATCAGCCAAAATTTGCTTTGAGTTCTAATAAAGAATTTAAGATCTATCAGAAACTTAGAAGGTTTTTAAAATCAAATTTGCAGAAATCTTCTGATGAGCAAGGAAGTATGACTGTGAAATAACTTATTATTGCAAAAAAATATATAGTCTTACTGAGTAATTTGCAAAAGTCAGATCTCATGCTGCCCAAGACTCCCATAACCATTACAGTAGAAAATAAACTAATCAGACAGTCATGGAACTGATAATCTATTTTAAAAATATGTTTAATTCTTATTTATCACTGTCATTTAAATAATTCATTAGAGGAATCTCTTGTTTTATAAACATGCCACATAACTATGAGAATGTTAAAGGGGAAATACAATTAACATAAATGATTTTAAAGTAAATCAGAAGATTAAAGTGCTTTGTTCTAGAGACACAAGTCTCCCTTCCTTTAAATATGCAAACAACACAGATTCTGAAAATCCAAAAGACACTTCTCCTTCATAATTGCAGATGGAGAGAATTCCATACCGCAGCCTTCACCGGCATTAAAGTATGCAACTTCATTCAAATAGAGTTCCAGTGTCTGGGAATGATTTGCTTTGGCATGTAATCAGCATTATATATTTAATCTGAAAATAAAAACTCTGGGCTTTCATAACAGGATTTAAAATATTTCATTAAGTTAAATATAATGAAAATTTTCAGGACAATATAATTCTTTAAGCAGTTCTGAATAAATAATATTAGCAAACAGTAAATATTTACGGATGAACAGGAGAAAGCATTAGAAACATCACTACTAAGTACAGCAATTTGTCTCTATCATACATAAGCTGCATATCATTTCCATGTGTCAATTTCTTAAACAAGACAATGAAGAAAAATAACAGCTATATACTATCCTATCACAGAACAATAGCTGCCTGAACACCTGCTTTAACATACCTAGAGACTGCCAGACTTCATAATCCAAACAATTTTTAGCTATAAAATTACTTAGTATTTATTGATTTCAATATACCTAGCATCAGTAATAGCGCATTGCCAAATGTAGTTCAGAGACAGTACTAACATCTACAAATATCCTTATTTCTAAGCTTCTTGGACTGCTTTAAACGTAAAACAGAGGTTACTTTAGATAGGCAAGATAACTAAAAATTAGTACCAAAACTATTAGACATTCCTAATAGACAAGAGATACATTAGTACAGAATCATTAAAATTGACTTTTATTATTGGCTTAGAGTTGTCAAAGCAAGATGAAATAAGAATGATCACACAGTACCTTACCCTTTCTACCGGTGAACCATAGCATGCAATGCCGAAACATAGCAGTGGCAGATGGCATTGGTGTTATTAACTATAAAAAGGATAATAGCAGAGAAATGATGGCTGGTAGACAAGACATGAAATGCAGATGAAATGAATGCAAACTTGTAGTTCATGAAGCAGAGCAAAACCTTTAAGCCAAAGGATGCCACTAGCTTCAATGTCATTTACATTTTGAGTTTACATGGACAAACACTGCAACCTTCCCAATCAGTCTTTAAACTCTTCATGCAGAAGCAGAATCATACTCCTCGATAAAGAAGATCAGCAACCTTCTGTAAACACAAGCCAGCAGCAGCAGCAGCAGCCCATTACTCTCTCCCTTCACTGATTTTTATCCTTTAAATTTTTAATCTCCAACTGCAGCCAGATCCACAGTCATTTTGAATAGATCTGTATCCACTGCAGATACAAATCCCTGCCTAACCTGCAGTACCACTTCATCCAGAATGTTCCTGTGCTCTCGTTCATGCAAGATCAGTTGCAAAACCATTCAAGTCATCCAGCAAACAACCCAAAAGAGGAGAGAAGCAGTCGGGACTATGAAGAGAAAGAATCTCTTCTTTCAGCTCACCCTGGAAATGGAAGGTTTTCTGATCAACAGTTATTGTGAAGGTGCTGTCGTCCTCATCGTCTATACCAATCACAGCTCCCTGTGAAACAAAGAGCAAAATCCCAATAAGGCAAACAATGACATCAGCAATATTCACTACTGCTACAGTCCTTGAATACTCAATGTACCGAGGACATTGTAAGCAGACTAGACATAGAAAACAGCCATCTGAGACTCTAGTTTTGCTGAAGGAGAAAATCCTAGGGAGAGAGGCTGGCAGGACACTTGTATACCTTTCATGGGTCTTTTTCTATGCCATGCGTAAGGGGCATGGCTGTGGTGGGAGGGGGAGAGGACAAACATGGAAGCTGAATCTAGAATCTGTGTTTAAGCGCCAGCCACTGAACCTTTCTGATCTTTATATCGCGCTCTAAAATGGGAGTCAGAAACCTATACCTCACCAGGTTACTGTAACGCTCAAAGCAAGCAGGTATCCTTCATCAGGCTCCTTCTGTGTTATAATTGTCAGCACAGAAATACCAAGTGACATTTGTTTCAAAACACTGTCCCAAACCCTTCTTCCAGGTGCTCACATAACCACTTTTACATTGCTCTGCTATTACGCTTTCACACTCTACTATGATTATCTATTTATCTGTCTGCCTTCTCCCACTGAACTGCTATGAGGTCTTGGAAATCAAGGATTATTTTATTTTGACACATGGCACTCAAATACACATGAAATATATGTTTTCTAAAGAAATGATAAACAGCTCTGTAAATGGGACAGGGAGTAAAGAATCATGTGTATAAGTTGCTTGCTTTGGGAAGGTTGATAGGGTGGGTTTTAAACCTTAAATTTTTAAAAGATTTTCAACTAATACATCCTTTTAAGACAATAAGAATTAAAAGAAAGAAAACTAGGCAAATAGGGAATCTATTGTTCACTGTCCTTGAGAAATAAATATCTTAATTATTCCAGAAAGACTAGAGAACAGGGGATAGGTGATATGCCCCAGGTTGGTGACATGAGAAACAGTATGTAACAAAACAAACAAACAAAAAAAACCACAATCCTTGAAAAAAAAAAAAAGAGGATGAAAATACTTCAAGGGGACAAAATATCAATCCCATGAAGAAAGGCTACATGGGGGACTACTCCTATTATGGGACTAAGACATTTGGAGTCAAACATTTATTAATTTCTTCCTTGAGAATATCTGGATGAACCCCAACTCTATCAAAATCTCACTACCAGAGTTATCTTATTTACTCCTCAGAATCAGATTGAGCGATAAACTTAATTCCTATTTTTAGACAAGCAAAGTGCCTCCAGAGAGTATAATGACTTATCCAAGGTCACACAAAGAGTTACTGGCAGAACCAGTACCAGGTCATCATTGGCATGGTATCCATCTATTCCAAATACACACAAACCTCAGTGTATAAGAATACATGGGAGCAGTTCATTCTGGTTATTTTATGAATTTTGTGGTGAAATAAATTAACCTTCCAACTTATGATCTTTCAAGTACTTGCTGAGTTATAACTTATTACAAACATGTATACTACATACAACTCTGGAATATCTGACAATAGTCCTTGCTTTGAAGGTACTTTTCCAAAAGAGATAAAGCATGCAAAAAGGTGAGTGTAACAAGGCAAAAAGCAATCTCTACTTGATGAACCTTGAAAAGAGTATGCTAAGTAAAAGAAGCTAGTCACTGGGGCCAGTGCTGTGGCATAGCGGATAAAGCTGCTGCCTGCAGTGCCAGCATCCCATATGGGTTCTGGTTCGAGTCCTGGCTGCTCCACTTCCAATCCAGCTCTCTGCTATGGCCTGGGAAAGCAGTAGAAGATGGTCCAAGTCCTTGGCCCCTGCACCCACGTGGGAGACCCGGAAGAATCTCCTGGCTCCTAACTTCGGATCAGCACAGCTCCTGCCATTGTGGCCAATTTGGGAATGAACCAGCAGATGGAAGACCTACCTCTCTCTCTCTCTCTTTCTCTGCCTCTCCTTCTCTCTGTATGTAACTCTTTCAAATAAATAAGTCTTTAAAAAAAAAAAAAAAAAAAAGAAGCTAGTCACTAAGGACCACGTGTTATACAATTCCATTTACAAGAATTATCCAGAATAGGTAAATTCATACAAAGTAGATTAGTGGTTGCCTAGGGTTGGGGAATTCAGTGGGCTAGAGATAAATAAGGAGTACCACGTTTCTTTAGGGAAGAAAGAAAACATTTTTAACTTTACATGGTGAATGTCAATCTTAGGGGTTAGTGTTGTGGCACAGTGAGTTAAACATCCCACATCAGAGCACTTGTTCAAATCCTAGCTGCTCTGCTTCAATTGAGCTTCCTGCTAATGTGTCTGGGAAGGCAATGGATGATGGTACTTGGACCCCTCCCACCCTCATCAGAGATCTTGATGGGTTTCCTGGCTCCTGACTTCAGCCTGGCCCAATCTGGCAAGTTGCAATTGTTTGGGAATTGAACCAGTAGATGGAGGATCTCTCTCTTTTTGTCTCTCCCGCTCTCTCTCTCTCTCTCTGTCTCCCTGCCTTTAAAATAAATAATATATACATACATATATATATATATATATGTATTAACTGCATATGGGTGAGTTACATGGTAAATGAATCTTATCTCAATAATGCTATTGTAATTCAACCCACTCCCAAATGGCTTTTCCTTATCTTGGGTTCCCAGTTAAGTCAGAGAGAAGCCTCCAGAACCATCTTTTACACATTAAATTAGCCATGAATATATTGTATAGCCTGTTTCCTAACTCTCATGTTTACTTCCTTTTCTCCCAATAGATAATGATAGCAGTAGTCATCCACTCATTCATTCATGCACAGACCTTTTTTACAAAATCAGAGTCAGGTATGGGGCGCAGTAGTTAGGATGCCAGGATCCCATACTGGAATAACTATACAAGTTCTATCTATACAAATTCTTATTCATTCCATTATCACAAGATGTGCTCATTCTATCTCTGAACTATTATCTTAGGTTCACTAACTCTTCTGCATTCTCACAGCTATTGTTCTAATACAGGTTTTCTTTATTTCTTGCTTGGTAATGCAATCTGCCTTCAGTCTGGCCATCATCTAATTCATAGTCCTCACTATATAGAGAAACATTTTTTTTTTTTTTTTGACAGGCAGAGTGGACAGTGAGAGAGAGAGACAGAGAGAAAGGTCTTCCTTTGTCATTGGTTCACCCTCCAATGGCCGCCGCGGCCGGCGCACCACGCTGATCCAATGGCAGGAGCCAGGTGCTTTTCCTGGTCTCCCATGGGGTGCAGGGCCCAAGCACTTGGGCCATCCTCCACTGCACTCCCGGGCCACAGCAGAGAGCTGGCCTGGAAGGGGGGAAACCGGGACAGAATCCGGCGCCCCAACCGGGACTAGAACCCGGTGTGCCGGCGCCGCAAGGTGGAGGATTAGCCTAGTGAGCCGCTGCACTGGCCGAGAAACATTTCTAAAGCGTGCGCGGGTGTGCACGCACACACATGCACACACACACACACACAGTAACATTCCTAAAGCACAGACTCTTATAGGAGATCCAAAGATTTGAAATCTTCCATGACTCTGCCTGAACTACTACATAAAGCCAACATTACTTCATAATGCCTTTCAAGACTGTTCAAAACTTGGCCCAAACCAGCCTTCCACTGTTATCACCCAGCTTCCTTCCTCCCCACCTCCCAGAGATCCTACATATGCACCATCTCAACATTTCTTCCACATACTGAAAGCGTAGTTTTTGAAAAATCATTCCATGGGACCGGCACTGTGGCACAGAAGGTAAAGCCGCCACTTGCAGTGCCAGCATCTCATAAGGGCAGTGGTTTCAAGACCTGGCTGTACCACTTCTGATCCAGCTTTCTGCTGTGGCCTGGGAAAGCAGTAGAAGATGGCCCAAGTCCTTGGGCCCCTGAACCCATATGGGAGATCTGGAAGAAGCTTCTGGCTCTGGCCGTTTCGGCCACTTGAGGAATGAACCAGCAGATGGAAGATCTCTCTCTCCCGTGGCCGATGCTGTGGCTCAGCGGGTTAAAGCCCTGGCCTGAAGTGCCAGCATCCCATATGGGCACTGGTTCTAGTCTTGGCTGCTCCTCTTCTAATCCAGCTCTCTGCTATGGCCTGAGAAAGCAGTAGAAGATGGCCCAAGTCCTTGGGCCCCTGCACCCACGTGGGAGACCCGGAAGAGGCTTCTGGCTCCTGGCTTCAGATCAGCGCAGCTCTGGCCGTTGTGGCCATCTGAGGAGTAAACCAACAGATTGAAGACCTCTCTGTCTCTACCTCTCTGTCTCTACCTCTCTCTGTAACTCTTTTAAATAAATAAAATAAATCTTAAAAAAAAAAGACCTCTCTTCCTCTCTCTGCCTCTCTGTAACTTGGCCTTTCAAATAAATAAACAAATCTTTTCTTCAAAAAATCATTTCTCAAACTCAATTCTCTACTATTTGTGAAACAATAGAAAACTTCACCTCTCCCTCTAACCCCCACCTCCCCTCTCATCACTTTCAGAGAGAGATTTTTTGCAAATTGGCCATGCCTTAACCTTTCTTCCACTCTTGCAGTCTAGCCTCCTTCCTCTCACAGCATCAAGTTTCTTGCACAGGTCTCCAAGGACCACTGTACTAATTCTGAGTGTTTTGCAGCGTCTGCTGCTGCTGCTGACCATCTCCAAGAGACCCTCCCCTTCAATGGCTCTTCACTACCTACACTGTGCTTCACAAACAAGTCTCCCTAAATACCTGAGGTAATCCACACAGGGACAAAGTGTTTCTTTCTGATCCATTACACTATTATCTCCTCTCCAGGAAGGCTTCTTTAAGTCTCTGGCATCTAGCTAACAGTCTCCTTCTCCTAATGGACCTTGCCATTCTCCTGCATGTCCTCTAATGTATATATGCACAATTTATCCAACATTCTAGCCTTTCGGTTTCTTGATTTGTTCAGTTTAAAAAACTTCATTGCCATTCTTATTCACTTACTCATTCCCCATGGCAATATTCCATGTTTACATTGTCCAATATAATAGCCAAAGGCCACATGTGGTTGGTGGGTGTGGAACTGTACA